TGTTTGGCTGAAATATGCAGGGTTGATCAGCCATATTTTGGTAATGTTTATTTTCGGCGGAGTTGTTGATAACAAATTTGGAGTACAAGCTGAACATGGAGATCTTGGCACAGTATCGTTTCACTTGCGTAGGAAAACAAAAATGCATGGACACACTCATAAACATTCAAGATACCACAACAGAAGTCATTTCCAAAGCAGTTTTGGTCGGAGTAAAGATGGCTACTCGTTGAGAGTAAGTTTCATTCGTATTTGTATCTACTTGCTCAGTTGTTTGATTTTGCATTTTATTGATAGTTGAAGTAGTTTTTAAAGACTTTCAGTTTTCTGAATTTGACAAGATCATGTCAATTCTTTACGTTGTTCATCTACAGCCACGCTGTTGAATACATCCATTTAGGCCAATCAGTTATTTCAAGCAATTTGTTTTATCCGCTTGTGTGACCTAAGTCAGCTGAAGACCTAATGCAAATATTTTGAAAAAGCTAAAGACGTCATGCGAACTTCGTATCATTCGATTATTTTTTGTCTTTACGTTATACATGCCTAGGAGGGAGACAAATATTGACAAAGGCGACAACCCTTGTTACCAAATATCTAGGTAAACATGGACAAGTATGGCCCAAAAGTATAGGCCTAAACCATACTGAGGGAAATTGAAGTAAATTAAAAAGATTTTCCACAAAGAAGCTATGGCATCTAAAAATGGTTTTTGTTACTCATATTTCTAAAGTATGGAATTTAAAAGAATCCATTTTTGGATAACTGTCATGAAATTTAAACATCTAGTAATTCTCTTTCTTTGAATAAAATTTGTTCAATAATTCCTGCTTTTCTCATCTCGTAGAGTACATCGTATGCATATGTAATAGAAATGAATATTGGTACTCCTCCTCAAAAGGTAGGCTGCCTGGTTATTTCATCTATGCATTAATATATATGTCTTTCATAAATTCTATCTGCAATTGACACAATGCCTGGTTAAATAGTTACCCCAGGGCCTCCAACGAAGGGGGGGCTGGGGAGCCATGGCCTCACAGCATTTTTTTGTAAAACAATAGAGCTTTTTTCAAAATCTTTTGTCATGGGTTGGAGCCCATATACCCACAATATCATACATTTTGAGTTTTGCTCTAGGGAGCTGAATTTTTTATATGTCAAGTAGATTTCTGAAGTAACAATAAAAATGCAATACAGTTTTAATTTAGCAGCACAATTTCTAATGTAGCATAGAATTTTTCAATTCTGGTTAATTGTTAATGAAAGGCCTTTTAGAAAAACCAAGTATGCAGTTCTGATGGATCTAGAAAGCTTGTTCATAATGCCCATTTTTGGGGTATTTTTTGTACCCTCTTAGCTTTTCCTAAGCATTACACTCTTATTTGTTGGCATACTTAGTAATAACATGCTCTATATTCTAGCATGCTATTTCTTTCATTCTTGAATGGAAGTGGACATAAAAGAAAAATCATATGCATTTACCTACTTATCTTGTTCATTTTTTGTAAAACCTTGGGTGTGATTGCAAGGGTGCCATGTCAGTTTGTGTTTATAACCTGTATCAGAAATGTTGCTCTTAGACCATAAAATATCTTGATCTCTCGTGAGCACAGGATTCTTTCAGGTTTTTGGCTATTATGTAGACTTGAATCGGAAGGAAAGTTTCTGTGAGTTCCCATGACTTTAAGTATCAGGCAACTGCAAATTATATAGTAAACACGCATTGACTAAAGCTTTGATTTTGCTTTAAAGAACATTGATGTGATTGATTGATGATTGTATTATAGCTTGAATTTCTGATAGACACTGGGTCAGCAAATATGGCAATAGCAGGTAAAGAATACCTTATGATATCAATATTCAAATTTTCAAATCTAAGCTACCTTGTCCAACTTTGCTAGTTTTAGAAAATTGTATGCGCCAAGCCATAAATATGCAGAGGTTTACAGAGTAAAGCAGTCACTATTAAAGCATTTCTTTAAAAAGTTCCAGCTCAGTCCAAATTTAGGAGAATAATCTTAAAGTTAGCAACCAGGAACATGATAACTGGTTTTGGTAAAGGTGGTTTGTCCTCTTAGGGAATGGCTCATATGCCAATGGACCTTAAACCATCCAAGACTGCCTCAGATAAGTTATCTAATGTCAGCAAGGCCTGAATCTTACTCCCTGTAAAAATAAGATTGAGCATACTTGGAGACAGACTGTTATTAAGCTCTGCTCAAGTGCTCTTAACCTATCAGTGGATTGTAGAGTAAAGATTCTTATGTGAGTATTGTTGCTATGTACTGTTCAGTGTTTAATCTGCATTATTAAGAAAAGTCGAAATCTATTGATAGTACTTCACAAGTCCATGAAATATTCGAATAGATTTCTGAGCAGTTGCAAGACAAAACAATCATGTGCAATTCTAGGAAAATGTCAGATATCCAGTGAAATGCATCTAGTAAACAGACAGAATTCCCATTTTTCTTGCTGATTTCTGTCACATTTTTTTATTCTAGGTCCACAGTGCAAAGATCAACATGGAAGCAAATGCAAGATTGATAATTATTATTATCCCTCAAAGTCATCCACAGCTGCTCCTTTAAATAAACCAGTAAGATCATATACCGTAAATCCTTGATTATGCCCCCTGGGGGCTTATTTATTTTTGATATTTTTGGATGGGGGCTTATTCGAAAGAGGGGGTTTATATGAGGGGGGCTTATGAAATTATTGTAAACATTAAGAAAACATTATTAAAAGACCTCATTTATTTTAATAGGAATTCAAAAGTATGAATTTGTTGTGGTATTTTAGTAAAACGCCATAGGTAACCTCAGATGGCAAAAATCATCAAATGGAGGGGTCCAATTCGAAAATTTACGATAGCAGTGGGGGATTATTCAAGGGGGGGGGCTTTTTTGGGGGGGGAATTTGAGGATTTACGTACTATTTTCAAATTTTTAATCCATAAAACTTAGTTCCTTATAATGAATTTCATAGCAATGGATTCATACCAGATAATTTGATGATAAAGCTGGATCCAATTTTGCATACACACACTTGAGTTTATGGAATAAGCTGGCTTGAAAAATTTTAGTATCAAATAAATAATGTTTTTCCTCACGAACAGCAATTCATGCAGTAGGATTTCAAGCTGCTGGAATTCATGAAAATTGTTTTTGTAGGTAGAGACAGAGTATGGGAAAGGTGCATGGTCAGGAGTCGTTTTTAGAGATGTGATATCATTTCCAGGAGGTTTGCATTTGTTTTCTTCATATAATATGAATGTTTAATGTAATTTAATAATTAATGTTAGTTTTGACTATGTGACATAATGAAACTGCCTCATTCAATGCAATTTGTAAAATCCCATCGCCAGGTATGATATTTCCTCTCCATATATATTTTGTTGGTCCAACCAAAAAAATTATCTCTTGCTTAGCCATGAATTACAACTTATAAAATATTGCAAAGTTAAGGTGTTATAACTTGCATCTACTAAAGTGGTGTTGTGGCCCGGTTCGAGTGCAAATCAATTAGCTTCAAGTAATAAACAAACAAAACTCGACATAGTTTTCCAACGCAAATCTTTATAAAAACCAAATACTCTCTACAACTTCTCGACATGATTCAAACTGTTTCTCTCACTAACTAACTAAAAGTCCTCTGTCCGGGGGTAAGTCAGTTTTTGTAATATGGTGTAATAAGCAGGCCTGGCCGTTTGAGGCGAGCGATAGCTCGCGCTCGCCTCCACGCTCCCCTCGCAACCTGAGGCGAGCTATGAATTGCTCTCCTAAACAGAACATGAAGGAAGAATCGCTCCCCTAAAATTTCCTATTCAGAGAATTATGAAAACGCACAAGGGTTAATTGGTTTATTTTTGTAACAGCGATTTCTCCCGTCATTGCATTTTTTGCAATTAACTTTTTGCTTGTTGGGCGGTTTTTGTTATGATAGGCATAAACTTCGATCTATTTGGGAAAAGATAGTTAACCGAAAGGTACGTTTGTAGCGATTAGAACCTTTCAATCTTAAGAAAACAGGAATATTTTTGGAAGGAAAGTCGAAGAAATTGGTAGGAATTGTAGATTGGGGATATAATAAGACAGCAGGTCCCTTCCAGCAATAGAAACAAAACTATCCCTCAAAGAGAACAAGGTACTCTGCCTTGCAGATCAAAAACGACAACCAAAACATGGAATTCCACTATCCAGCGGCATTTACTGAAAAACCCAGATTGGGTGAAAACTATAACGGCAACATGTTTGGCATCATTGGCAAAGCCTGATCATCGTTCCATCTAGCAGTTTGTGAATCTATCTACTATATAAACATGACCAACCGCTTTTGTGTAGACATAAGTGAGTTCGTTTTCACCTTAGGACTCCGTTGGTAACATTTTCAATAGGAAAGCGGCACTGATTGGACAACCTCAACAGTCATGTGCTCGCGCTTTCTGATTGGCCTATTTCGATCCAAAACTGGGTATTTTAGCGTAAAGTTTTCCATCTTTGTTCTGACGTTTTATCCTCTGAAGAGTGCTAGACGTATAACTTCAGCTT